AAAAAAAAAAAAAATACACAATATAATTTACTTTTCATCATCTGAGTCAAATTTAACAAAGAGTAAAGTACAAAAATGTTATCAATAGTTGAATAATTTTTACGAAACCCTGTCTGATTTTCACATATCAAGCTGACCTCCTCTGAGTATTTCTGTAGTCTTTCATTTAATATACTAGTGAACAACTTCCCTAAACAACTAACAATCGTAATGGTCTATAATTTTTAGGTTCCATAGGTGAACCTTTATTTTTAAAAATAGGAACAATAGTACCGGTCAGCCGTTTTGATGGGAATTTCCCACTATTGAAAATAATATTAAACACTTTGACATACAATTCAGTAATTTTCGTAACAGAATGTTTGATATATTCATTCATAATATTGTCATCAGAGCATGTTTTGTTATTTTTCAAAGACCTAATAGCTCTTTTTACCCTATTCTTTGTTATATCACAGTTTAAAAACTCATTAATGGGATTAAGAATATCCACAGGCACATCAGTACCGTTTCCATCATCATCATCACATGTATTAAGGTCTTTGTAAAAATTTAGAAATTCGTCTATAGGTATTGTTCGTTTTGGTTTTCTTTCTCCACCAGATTTCAATAGCTTCCAATAATCCCTTGGATTTTTACTTTTCATTACCTTCAATTATTTTCTGATATCATGTCTGAACGTTTCAATACTTTTATCCATTATATTTTAATAAACTTTTTCAGATTCGTTATATTTATTGTGAAAATACTCGTTTCTATGCCGTCTATACTGTCCTTTACATAGGCGGTATTTTTTTCTAGCATTTCGACAATTAAAATCAAACCAAGGTTTCTTTGGGGCGACTGACTTCTCACGCTTACTTACAGTATAGGGTTTTGTGCCAAGTGTTTTTTTAGCAGCATGTAATAAAATATTACTACAATTATCAACAAGTTCGTCAACATTCAATTCATATGGGTCTGTACAATTGTCAATCATATCAGTAATATCTTTTACTAAATCATCATCAATATTATTAATGTAATCATGTGTTTTCCATTGGTTAATTCTTTCTCCAGATTGTGGGGTTTGGTTAATTGTTACACATGTGTTTAAAATGTTATTAAATTGTAAAGTTAATGAAATTGGACAATGTACATCAGATAATAAGAAATTAAAGTCTAAAATATCAAATTCATGTACATTTTTTACAAGTCTAGATGAACATAATACATAATCAACAACACTCGCGTTTTTGCACGTAAGCTTACCAATACTTTTGTCGCGGCCAGTTCGACCATTACAAATAAAAAGGTCATTGTACTTACAAAAATCTTGGAGTCGACTCCCGGAATTATCCTTTTTATCGTCACAACTTGATCTATATTTTGGGAAAGTAAATTCATTAAAAACACTAGTATCCTGTGCGTCATTAAGAATCCCATCTGTAGAATCATCATTGTTTTCTATTTCATGTACATCTATAAAATCATTTGCCTTTGATGATCGTGCATTAAAATCGCCTAAAAGACATACATAATTACTATTGGTTGAGAAATGTAGGTACTCATTTTCAAGTTCTGAATATGGATCACCTAAATGGTATTTAGAATTTTCAGGTGGTATATACACTATACCAAACAGCAAATCTTCATCACAATGGCAGACGTTACCATTAACCTTAAACCAGCTTACATACTTGCTGTCACTTTCTAAATTATTAATACAGTTTTCTAAACCACACTTAAAAGCCAGTGTTATTCCGCCAGCTTTCGTTTTTCTAAATTGAAAACGATTCTTCATTTTAATAACATCTAAGTCGTCAGTTTTTGTCTCGCTTAGACGTAATATATCAAAACTATTTACAAAATCAATAAAGTTTGGGTATTACATTTTTTTCAGAATACCACCAACATTTAAAACCAATATTTTAGTATTATAAACCGTACACGAGTCCAAAACAGAGTCGATAATTACACTTCTGGTTAAGTATTCATCGTTAGAACGCGTACTGTCTGCTCTGATATGAAACGACTCATAGCAACAGCTTTGATAAATACATTTTAGTTTTTATGGGGCTAACAAATTAAGTTGATACAACTGTCACCATATCGTGTGTATAGGATGCATGGAAGAAATGTTAGGTAACGGTGGGATTGATGTTACGTCATACATGTATTTGAATTCATCTGCTTTGAAACAAACCTTGCTAGGTTTTAATGATAGATCATACCCCCAACAGGAAAAAAAAAACTGTCTCACAAGTTGTAAACAGTTTTTCCTTTGTAGGCTGGTACAAAGTATTTTTACTACGTTGTCCTTTGGACAATTATACGCTGCACAATAGGTGCCTTCAGGTCAATACTGAACACGTTTAACGAACAGGACAATTACATAGAACGCGGGATGTGCGTGTAGTCAATACAAATACTGATAGTTCACTCCTTGTATTTGCTCAACGTAGCCGTGACACACACACATACCAGTAGTACCATATCCTACAACACCGGTACATGGCGTAAGTAAAATAGGAATATCTATTCAACACGTGTACAGCTTTCAATACCGTTCCTGCCAGTCTACAGCGAATATGAACGGTATGTTTTCTTGATTTAATCGAACCATGTTTATTTTCTTTAGAATGTAAAATTTAGATAACAATAGTTATTTGTTTATTGAGAGATCGTAGACAGTGTATTGGTAAGAGTTACAGATATTCGCAGCTAGGCGATTTGGTGTCGGAAATCGAAGGTTCGCGGCCGGGACCGCGCACAAGCCAAAACTTGTCTTCCATTGACGATTGTGTTTCTTTGTTGAAATTTTAATTATAAACGCTTTAAATAATTTTCAATACTGTATGCTGATCTAATGGTTTGCCATAGCGGAATAGAAATGACATTGGCGTGTCCAGATGACGCTGAAATTTATTTCAATATGTCCTCTTCAGATCACACGTTAAGATCAGCTAGCGAACGTGACTTATGAAGATATTTTTGTTTTTCATTGTGAAAAACACAAATCATTGGACAAAATCGCTTAAAAGTACGAATTAATACTGAGACTATTACTGAAATACATCACTTTATAACAAACCTCCGTTCATGTTAACTCAACTCAATTTAAGGCACATAGCATTCCCATATACTAAACATATACTTTATGTTATTTGTGTACATTCTTCCCGTCTTAACTTGAATGTGATAAAAACAATCCACACAAAGAAAACTTGCACACACTCCTGTAAACTGACACGAATCGGGGACCAAACTCGACACGCCGGCCTTTAAATAAAATAGCCATGACCTTATAACCACTGTTATTACAACAAGGTGGGCTTCACGAGTCGTTAATGTACTAACTACTATTTCTTATTAACACATTATATTTGAGGTTTATATTGTTAGTTGTTTTTTCGATTTTGTGATCCCGTTTTAGAGTTTAGTTTTAATCGTGATATTTTTGAAATATTCAACACGAAGGATGATCATTGTAGTTCGGGGTTTTTCTTTCCTATTTCTCATCCGGTCCTTCTGTTCTATGATATGCACTATATTATATACATTTGAGGGTTATTCATATTGATTTACATACGGCAAATACGACAGTGAATGTTGAGTTTGTAGTGAGAATATATTGATTGTACATGCACTTTGTCCAATAATTTTGACGAAAACAATCAAATATACCACACAGAATTAAACTGGTTAGTTAGACATAAGACGACTGTCACCTGACGTCAAAACGGAATAAAATTGATCGAAAAAAGCATTAATACAAATCTAAAGAATGCAAAAGTGATGCAATAAGTTCAAATAATTATATATTTGTTTCAAACATAAATACAATGTAGAATATATTAATGAAAATGTAAAAAAGTCATATTAATAAATAAATAAAATAGACCAAAAGAAGGTAGTTTGCTTGGGACAAAACAAGAAAATAAAATAAGCAGACTTCGGCTAAAATTAAATAAGAATTTTAAGACATTCCTAATGTGTGTCATTAACAAATCATGTTTGGAATTGAGTTCAACGTTTCATTCCCGAGCTTATTCTGGGAGAGATGCCAGGGTTAGCGTGGCCCGGGCTCATCCCTCTTACATAATGTAACCGCACGCAGGAGTCCTCCCTTCATTCACTCTTTATTTTTTTCATTTCTTCTTTCACACTCCAATTCATTCATTCTGTATAATAATGATAATATTAACTTGATCGAAATGATGTAGTACATTACATAAACCATTCCTTTTATTCATATTCAAATATTGACAGAACATTCATATTAAAAAAATCATTTATATGCCAAAAATCCTGCTTTATTGGTTTGGGATTGCTATATTTGTCTCAAATTTCGACCAGATAAACCGAATTTACGAATAATTTGGAATAACCCCAAAATATTGTATGGGGAAATATTTTGTTATACCAACATGAATGTACCTACCAATTTAAACCTAAATACTGTACACGGACAAAAAAAAACACCAGCGTACATTCTATATACAGTACATAGACAAAAAAACACAGTGTACAATCATGTGAAATTTTACTTTATACATGTACAATGTATTCATACATAAAGTAAACACACATTTGCATACACACATCCCACAAACCCACACACATACACACATACACACACATACACACATACATACATACACAAACATACACACATACGCACACATACACACATACACACATACACACACACATACACACACACACACATGCACACACATACACACACATACACACACATACACACATACACACACATACACACACATACACACATACACACATAGACACACATACACACACATACACACATACACACACATACACACACACTTGCATCCATGCCACAGCATATACATTGTAAACATTTTTGATATTAAGACGTTATCATATGCTTACATTTGCATGGCATTGTCACTATATAGCCTCTTTGAAAGCTGTGTCGTTGATGGGACTTGAATTACCATGCAACACGGGACACTATTCTTAGCGTATTAATACAACACTGACCGGAACTACAATATCCAATGTAAATAAACATGATGGCTGCTGAAATATCGCTGGTCATTATGAGACTTGACAATGTCATTGTAAATTTATGTGCAAAATAAAAAAAATTAAAAAAAATACTTGTATTGCAACAAAAACAAGACCAAGGTCTGCAATATCGTACAAAATACACATCGGTTGAAATCCCCAATGCCGGCAATGGAAAAATTTTTTTTTTTTTTAATACAAACTTTAATCCCGCAGCATTTTGATATTCTCATTTTCATAGATCTTTGACATATGCATATGCTAATATTCAGTGGTTGTTGGAGGCTGCCAGGGTTGAGGAGCCCTGGGATCAGCCCCCCGAACAATAAAGTGTCCACTCGCAGGTGGTCTTTCACTATTCGTACACCTTACATTCAATAGCTATGTTTTTACATGCGTTATATATAAATATACATTTTATATACTTATATTAAGTTTGTAGGTTGTCCCCGCGCATGCATGTATCAGTCACCCCAAAACTGTATCCGTCTGCGTCATGTCCCTGTAAAGTCTTTTACTTTGCACCCGGACAATAATGGGGACGTCCATTACCTACATGCACGCGGTATATTACTGTTTTTTGATTACAATTATTTTTAACAATACAAAAAAGTAAAGACTCATTTTGTTTATCCAATGATAGTATTCGATTAACAATTTCTAATCAAGTCGGTATGTATATAATTCACTTTTAATGCCTATGATTGAAAGAACCCCACTAATTTCACTCGTCCACTTTCATACATCCGTAAAGTTTGTAATGACTTACATTGTATAGGCATTTGATCTAGGTATTTGTACATGTAAGTGACATAAAAAAAGTTACACATATATTCCGGAAAATTTGTCCAGATTATTTTATAGTTTTATAGTTGTGTCTAACCATGTGCATGTACTATTCAGGTGTTGGACAGGATTTATATTATTCCGAATTGGGCAAGTTTTGTTCGCTTATACTTGCACTAATTAATAATGATTGTAATTGATACACAAAGTTTCTTTCATATTAGTAACAAACAGAGTTATTTATGTTGTTTACATGTACACATTTCATATGTAAACTGTTTGCACGCGTGACCCCGCGGTCAAGGTGTATACATGTGTACACCTTACTACGAGCCATATTACACACTGCGTTAGTCACCATAATAAACCATATGATTGAAAATGACAACACTTTCTTACTGACTGACTGATAGTTCCATTAGTAGAGTATATGCATGTAGGCTAATCTGTCATAAATCCTTCATAAATGTATGTAACAGTATGTTACCTACGTGCGTAAATCTGCAAACATGTTCTAACTCCCGTTTAAAAATGTTAATCGGGCTAATTTGCTTTGTTTTTTGTTCGCTTATATGGTAGGTCTTAAATACCGCGAAAACTATCAAACACAAAATTATATTCGTGCAATCGTAATTTTTTTCTTGTATTTTGTATCCTAATATCAAATACCTTATCTGTCTCATATTTTTACAGATCGCTATGTTTTGAAACCCTTTATCCATTTTGTTCCAATAATTGTCAAGATATCTACCGTTGATAAAATAATGTTCAAAATCTTCTACCTCTTGCCAGACGTTACAGAGCTCTGAGTCAGCTATGGTCATTCTTTTTAACATCTGTCTAGTTGGTATTATATGATGAAATAATTTCCATTTGAATACTTTATACTTATTGTCTAATAATTTACTGAAAACAAATTGTAGCATCTGTTTGATTTCTATTGATCCATCTAAACCGAAATAATTTATCCATCGCACTTTGTTAATGTTTATCACATTTTTTTTTGTTGAGTAGCCAACCTATATACATCTTTATTTTTTAACTTCCCTAAGTTAAGATTGACTTAAGTTTTTTTTATCATAAACGTTGTAGTTTTCTTTATTAAAATTAACCTTGGTTTTAATCGATTCTTGCGATTGTAAAATTCCTGCCCATTTTTTTTGGAAAAGCCATTTTAACTTGTAGCATTTCACTCATCCAGTTTTGTTTGTTTGCTAATTTGTCGTCAATGTATTTTTCATTAATTCTACCATTTTTGTCAATTACATCTCGAACATAAATCATATTGCTATCGATCCAATTATTAAAGATTACTGTTTTTTCGTTGATCATAATATTTTTTTTCCCCATATGACCTTCTTTGTTACTTCAAAAAAAGTATCTCTACTATTTCTACCAGTACCCCCTACCTTTAGCCATGACTCCAATATGTTTACGTAAAAACTTGTTACATTTTTACTTAGATCTCTAATTTGCTTATTTATTTTCAAAATTCATTTTCAATATTAACATGTTTTTCCCATAATTTCCGTACATCATTTTTGGTATAATTTTCCAATTTGCTTCATCCTTGTTTGTTAATCGTTTCACCCATGCCACCCTTATGACATCTATATGTGATCTAATATCACGTATTTTTAATCCCCCATTCTCATAATTTTGTATCATGATATTTCTTTTAACTTTTTCACTTCCCTCCCATATGAAACCATATATTAAGCGTTCCAATTATTTTATTTGCTCTGCACTTATTA